AGATCTGGGCCCTGAGCTGTCTCAGGGGCAGGGTGCCCTGGCTGTTTCATGGCTGGCCTCACCTGCTGCTGCTGCTTCCCTAGGCTGTGAGCCATTTTTGAAGGTGACTCCCTTAATCTTCTCAGGCTCTTTGGTTAACCTGGAAGCATCTGTGGCAACAATAAGCAAGCAAACCATGTGGACTTTGGGCTCGTGTTACAGGTTACCCTTTACTCCAGAATCCTGTCATGTTTTCATCATCATTTTTTTTATGGGCAGTTTCTCAGATAGCCCTTGGCTCCTAGGCCAAGACTGTAGATAGAAGGACCCAAGTCTTGCCGGTTTACAGAGCTGTCCTTTGTATTTTGTCCTTTTTGAGCCTCACTAGAGAGTAGGGAGATAGTTAAAGCAAGCAACAGCCCCATTTTATAGGTAAGGTTATAGAGGCAGAGGTGAGGTAAGTGGCTTCCCCAAAATCAGAGCCATGGATCCTCATAGAGGATTATTCTGAAGGAAATGAGCGTTCATGATGTTCAGCAGAGCACAGTCATCTAGCTTTTAATGTTCTGAGTTCACAGAGGTGGGAGAGACCAGATGCTGACCTTGAGGGCTTGACATTCTAGCTCGTGGGGTCTCTTTTTACCACATACTCTTGGGGCAGCAGCACCAGTCCCAAGAAAGAATATCAGAAGGATGAATGTAGATTTTCCACGACTCCTCCTGTCCCCATATTTTAGAGGGGAAGAGATGTGTTATACGCAGAGAAGCTTGGATGTTGTGGTGAATTCTCTAGCTGACAGAGAACTTCGAGCCTTTTTTTAGATGTGGAAATGGAAGCCAGGGAGCCTTCATGACCAGCCAGTTGTTTGGTGGCAGAGAGGGGACTGACTTGCAGCCCCACTTCCTCTCGTCTTACCTCGTAAGTTTAAATGTTACATGCCTTGTGAGGGTGGATGAGTGCCAGCTTTGAACATGAGGCTTAGTTCCAGGCTCCTCTTTAATCACAATTTTTTCCCAAAATTTTTTGTGGTAAAATGAAATTGGTCATCTTAACCAGTTTTAAGTGTGCAGTTCAGTGACATTAAGTACATTCACATTGTTGTACAACCGTCACCACGATCCATCCATCTCCAGAACTCTTCATCTGGCAAAACCGAAACTCTGTTCTCATTAAGCATGAACTCCGTATTCCTTCCTCCCTCAACCTCTAACACCCAGCATCTACTTTCCGTCTGGGGAAGAAAGGTACCAAAGGGATACTAAAGTGAAATGGATTCTCCTCCTCCTCCTCCTCCTCCTCCATCTTCTCTTTCTTCTTCAAGTTTTTGTGTGTTTCTCTAGGGGTAATGAATATCTAGTTAATTTGTTCTGAAGTGTTTTTCTTTTCACTTGGTCTAAACTCACAATTCAGGAACAGATTTTATTTTATTTTTTTAATTCTGTGTTCAAAGCAGATCCCTTCTTAAAATGATGAGATGTATATAGGTGACCCTTTCTCCACAGTAGCTGGGTTCTCCCATTCTGAGCAATACCCTGGGGTTGTAGGGCTTCCCTTATCCCCGTATTACTTCTGAAGCACTAACTCTTGGCCTAGCCTTGCATGTAAACACTCCACTGGCTACCCTCTATTCATCTTTCTTCTTTGCAGAGTTCCCATCCTCATTACCCCCATCTGTTCTGCACTTGATCAGTTCTTGGGCTTCATGGTGGAATTGTTGGTCCTTTGGCCCAGGTAGCAGCTTAAGCAGTAAGGGAGGAGTCAGCAGTTGTTTCTTTAAAACAAAACAGGAGGTCATATGTGTGCATTTTCTTCCTAATACTATATTGGTTCCTCCCCACAGTATTCATGAGTTTGGCAAGCATTTGTTCTCTGTCTTTTCTGTTAAGTAATTCAGAGTCCCTGACTTTAAGGAACGTTGAGTCTGGTGAGGTGAGACAGATAAACATGTAGATGTATTAACCTGTTAGAGAGGTATAGTCATGGCAGGGTGCTCAAGACACTTTGGGAGTAAAAATCCCTTCTTAGTCCTACTGGAGGTGGGCCTGGCGTGAAGTGTCAGAAAAGAATTCCTCCAGGAGATGACCCTTTGCTGAGCCCTGAAAGTGACTGTATTCCGGGCAGGAGAAGCAATCAGGTTTATTTGAATGTCAATCAGTTTGTTGAGGGAGGAGACAGGCGTTCTGTAAGAAAACCTTGCTACATTAATTTTATCTATTTGAATAGGTAATACATGCACAAGATACAAGGCTTAAGGAGATTAAAGGGGAGCACATACAGTGAAAATTGAGTTCTTTTCCTGTTAACCACTCACTTCTCCTCCCTGAAGGCAGTCGTTAGGTACTGATTCTTGTGCATCATTCCAGAGATTTTTCCGGGCATACAGGGTGTGTGTATGTGTATCCCCTTTAAAAATACATGCGTACTCACAAATGGTTTTCTTCACGTGCTAATTTTGGAAGTCATTCCATATATGAGTACAGACTGACCTGCCTTGTTCTCTTCAAACCAGGGCATAGTATTCCATTACATGTGTGTATGACACCTCGTTTAACTTGTGTCACTTCAATCCTTGTCCAGTACAAAGCATGCAGTGACTGTCTTACTATCTCACATCTGTATCATTGCTCATGTGATTTTTGAGGACAGGTTCTAAAAGCAGAACTGATAGGTTAGAGAATGTGTGCATTTTGGAGACAGATGTATCTGAAAGAGCTCCACATTAATTATAAAATACTAAATTTAAGATCTTTACCACTTGGTGCCCCCCTGCTCCGCCTCCAAAATCCTTGCCAGAGTGATCTTCCTAAATGAATTTGGTCTTGTAACTTCTCTGTTTATAATCCTGTAAGCTCTACATAGTTTTCACTGTAAAGTTTAAATTCCTTAGCTTAGCCCATAACTCTGCTTCTGCCAAGAGTGCTGTGCTCCCATTATTCTGTTCCACTTGTTATTTGGTACCTTCTTTTTTTCCTCCTTTTTCACTAAACATATGCACTAGCAGTCAGCATCATCTCCTCTGGGTAGTCTTTCCTGATTACCTTCACTTGTGCACAGAACATGTAGGCACCATTCTGATCCAGCCTCATCCATTCACTGCAGAAATATTTGTTGTGCACGTGCTGTGATGTGGCACAACCAGGTATTATGCTCAGTGATCCACTGTTTGTTGCCTTGAGGGGATGATGACTATCTGGTAGAGCTACCTGCTGTGAATGAATCCAAAATGGCAGCACCAAAGGGCCTGTTGCTAACTGGGCATATTCTTTAACCTCTTCTGACCTTGGTTTTGGCATCTATCGAAGGAGGAGGTGAAGCCTAATGACCTCTAAGGTCTTATTAAGCTCAGGCCTTATTAATAATGACAACAGCAATAGCAGGCCGTGTTTACTGAGGACTTGCAAAGTGCCAGGCACTGCCAAGTGTTGTCTGATCCTGATCTTTACATCAAACCTATGAAGACATATGGTTATTGTTCCCATTTTACAAATGAGGAAGCTGAGGCTAAGAGAATTATTTGGTCACATGGTCATAATGGAGGAAACAGATTTGAATTTTGGCATTCTAACTCGACTGTTCTTAACTACATAAATATATACACATTCCACATATTTACACACACACAGTTTTGTGTACTATTTTGGGTCACTTATAGAATCTACCCCCAGACCTCTTCAGGAACCATCCCTTTTCTAGAGCTTTAAAGGCTCAAGTTGGAGCCTGGGTAAGAGCTGTGGACAGAAGACTACTATAGTCACAGCTCTTTGGGGGTAGTGAGTAAGGTTAGCTCTGTTCTTGAACCCCTGGCTCATGCTCATTGAAGACCTTCATAGCTGCTTTTCCTTCATACTGAGACAACTCATGTTGCTGTTTGCAGTCACTCTCTTTAGCAGGGGATGCAGGCCTGAGTCAAGCCTTCAGACACAGATGGAAGGCAGGGCTGGTTAATACCTCTGGCAGAATCGAAGGGGCACCCTTTATTAGCGTTGTCGATGGCAGGCTCCCTTATCTATTTACATAAAGCCTTATTAATGGAGAAGGAGGTGTGTGTATGGAATTTAAAAAGGGACTGTAATCTTATTTGAATACCTGTTATAAACAAGGATAAATGAAATCAAATGAGTTAACCAAAATATAATAGGCCTATATCAAAATGTATTTTCAACTTCTCTGAAGGCATGTAGAAAATAATCCCTAAAAGTCTTGACCCCGATTTTTTTTTTTTAAAGACTGGTTCCTAGTCGTCTGAAGTCATAGTCTGAACTAGGGGCGGTGGGGGGGGGGGGGGGGGGGGGGGGGCAGTTAACAATTACAGTCCGTCCTCCCCCTAGTCGGTGTCAGGTACCGTCAACAAGTGTAGCCTCTGGGGTCACAGGTGTGTCAGGTGAGCCTGGATTAATTGGTCCATTTTTGAGATTCATGGCTGTGCAGTCAGTGTCACATCCTCAGGGGCTCATCCAGCCTCTGGCAGTTGAGCAAGCCTAGCCATGGGCCCTTGGCTCCCGCTGCTGCATTCCTTCTCTAGGCGGTGTATTTCTCCCTTTAAGACACGTGTTCCCTATTTTTTTTTCCTTTGGTCGGTTGAACTCGCTCTGAGTCCAAGTGGCCAAGGCAAAGCCTGACTCAGGGGTGTAGTACTCTGTCAACAGCTGCCTCTCTCCTGCTCTCTGTTCGAGGCTTGGAGGTGGTGGGGCAGAGCCTGGGCAGCTTCTGAAAGCTCTGTGGTGCCTGACAGATCTCCAGGTGAGCCTGCGCTTGTCTCCTTGCCCTGTTGCAAGGATCTGGCTCCTGGATGTGGACGCTGATGGCAGCTTGCTGCAGGCCTCGGCATTTCCCCAGATACACGTTGAAAAGCCACTTACGTGCCTGTCCTTTCTTGGCAGCAGGAATTCATTTACTAGAATTCTTTCAACTTTGTATGTGATTATAGCTTCCTTACCAAAGTGCCTACTTGCAACAAACTTATGGCTGAAGTTTTCACTTATGTCTTTGTTTTTTTGTTGTCCTGTTTTTTTTTTTATAGGTAAATCTACCCGTGGCTGACTTTAGAATTCTTACTTCTGGCTTTTAAATTTTTTCTTTTTAAAATAACTTGGACGGATAAAAGATGTGCCATGGCAGGATAGCACCAAAGAGCACTGCAGCGTTGGCCGTGGCCTCCGCGGGACATGGAGTGTTCCTTCCACTGGTGATCCTAAGCACCCTCCTTGGAGACAGCCTTGCCTCAGGTGGGTTCGGGCCTGCCTCTGTGTGGGGGAGGGAAAAGACTTGTACCATTGTTAATCCCAAAGCCGGGATAGGGGACTCTCCCATCTAGCGGCCAGTTGCAATGAGAGCAGAGAGGGGTGGTGGGCTTTTGTGCTGTGGAATAGCGGGGGGCCAGTCCTGGGGGTGTGGCAGTAAGGGGCCTCCTGAGCCAGCTGGAGGGAGGGGTGTGTATGAACATACTGGGGATGACGTTATCGGCCCTCTCCCCACAGCTGGAGTCACCAGGTAGGATAGAGCTGTAGGGTTCAGAACATGATAGGCAGCAAGGGTGCAGGTTTGGGAATCAGACTGCCCGTGTTCTGAGTCCAGTGCTGCTGTTGCTGGCTCTGGGACCTGAGGAAATCTCATTTCTGTAAGCCTTAATTTCCCCAGCCACAGAATGAGATAATACTAGTACCTACCTGGGAGGGTGGTTCTGAAGATTGTCTAACACAATAGGTGCTTCATGATTGTTAGCTTTTTATTGTTTGTTCCTTGTCTTTTTATGTTTCTCTCAGAACAAGTAGAGTTGAGGTCTTGTGATTTAGTGAAAGCAGGACCTGGTCACTGACACTCTAAACTTCGTGATCTTGGGCAAGCCAGTTAGCCATTCCATGGCTCAGTTTCTCCATTTATCAAATGAAGGGGTTGACCTGGATACCTTTAAGGTCATATCCAGTTCCCTCCGTCTGTATTTTCATGACTCTAAGGACTTTCTGATTGAAGCTGGTGAGCTGCAAGAGCCCTAGCAGAAGCTAGAAATGCAACCGTGAGCCTTTTTGAGTTTGTATGATCCTTATTGCCTTCCACAGTGCTCTGAAGACCCTTCTAGGTTCTCTTCATGTGGTCCTCTAGACCTGGTGTTCTTTTGGACGGGGCATATTTGGGTGTGTACTGTAGGCCTCTGGGTGATGCTAGAGAACCTCTATAGAGCCTTTGTATCTGTGAGCACCAGTAGGGGTCTCAACTGATTATGATTTAAAAAAAAATTTTTTTTTTTAAGATTTTATTTATTTATTAGGGAGAGAGAGAGAAAGCACAAGCAGGGGGAGTGGGAGAGGGTGAAGCAGGCTCCTTGCTGAGCAGGGAGCCCGATGTGGGACTCGATCCCAGGACCCTGAGATCATGACCTGAGCCGAAGGCAGACGCTTAACAACTGAGCCACCCAGGCGTCCCTGATTATGATTTTTTAAAAAGATTTTATGTATGTATTTATTTGAGAGAGAGAGCATGCACGCACACAAGTGGGGACAGAGCAGAGGGACAGGGACAAGCAGACTCTGTGCTGAGTGGGGAGCCCAGTGCGGGACCCGATCCCACAACCCTGAGATCACAACCTGAGCTGAAATCAAGAGTCGGACTGAGCCACATTTACCCTTCAGCTATTATGATTGAACTCAACAGTAATGCAGCCCCTACCGGACTTCATTAGATATATAAGGTGGCAATTTTCTTTGGACAGCGTTCCCTGGAGAGGGATCTTGAAGGATGGGGGCAGTGTGGTATATTGCGGTGTATAGAGTCCCCCTAGCTCAGTGCTCTCTCTCATTCTCTGTCAACTCCCACCACCCACTTACCCAACACATACAGATAGTGGTGCAATGAACTGCTGGAAGAAATAGTTATGCACTTGTTTTTGCATTGTAGCCTTCTCCACCACCCACATACAGATTTCCTCTTCTACTGTCTCCTCTTCACCCTGTTCTGACACTTAAACCTTTCCCATAAAGCCTAAGACCTCTTTGGCTGTGAGGAGCTCCTAGCATAGCCAAGGAGGCCATTAATGATCGGGACCTCACAGTGTGGGCATTGTGGCTGTTTGAAGTTCCAAAGGAAAAGAAGGCCAGAATCCACCAACGTACAACCAGGTGAAGCAGGGCTATGTTCACAGGGCTTGGAGCCACAGCCAGAGGGGGTCTCTAGAAGTGGTAGTCACAGAGCCATAGGATGTCAAGACCCCGTCTTGTTCACCACTGTATCTCTAGAGCAGAAGTTGGCAAGCTACAGTCCCCGGACCAAATCCTCCCTGTATGGCCCGTGAGCCAAGAATGGCTTTATATTTTTAAATGATCAGAAAAAAGATCAAAATATTTCATGATACATTAAAATTGTAAGTTCACGTTTCAGTGTCCATAAATAAAGTTTTATTGGAACATAGCACTGTTCATTCATATATATTTTGTCTGTGGTTGTGTTTGTGTTAGAGTGGCAGTGTTGGGTAGTTGTGACATAGACTGTTGCCCCCAGAGCCTAAAATATTTAGACTTTAAAACATTTGGCCCTTTATACAAGAGGTTTGCCACCCTACCCCTAGCCCAGAACAAATGGTGCTCAATAAGTATGTGCATGAATGGAATGAGGATTTTAGAGGTCATGTACTTACCTAGATCCTAGGGCCAGGACCAGGACCTGGCTTAGTGCCTGCTACACTACCAAGACCGCCTTTTTCCCAGGCTCCACTAGGGAAGCTGTCCCATTGTGTGACCTGGCAGTATTAGGGCAGAACATCTGCCTTTGGTTTCTGAAGTCTTTAGCCTCTTTAGCTTCATTAAGCCATTCCACCTACTGCCACCCTCCTTTTTTATGGGCTCCACCCCTGCCTCCCCCCAATCTCCCACCCTATTTTCCAACTACCCACACCTTCCCAACTTTCCATCCAAGGTCTGAATTCAATTATCAGGGACTGATGGTTTCAGACTGGCTGGATAAAGGGATTATTATTCTCCAGTGTGGAAAAATGTATGTCTTTAGTGTGGGCTCAGAGCAGGATGGAAAAGTTGGCTCTGTAGTTTTTTTCCCCTCCCCCATCTGTACAGAATCCTCCCTCCCCTGCAACCCTCACCCCCCCCCCCCCCCGCCAAGTCTTTTCTACTCCCTCTAAAACGTGTGCTGGCACAGAGTAGGATGCAGGCAGGGGAAGGGGTGGTCCCATTACTTAGATCCAGCGCACCACGTTGCTGTGTGTGTTTCCCTCTCTGAAGTGGCTTCTTGGGGAAGGAGGCACCCACTCCTTGGCCTGAAACCTGAGCACACCTGTATGGCTGTGCCTGCCATAAGCAGCTTGCGAGACAGGCTTGCCAAGAAACCAAGACTTGCAGATACTCTGAGGTCGAGGAAAGGCAGTTCAGTTCAGGAAAAGTCCCCTTTTCCTCTTGGTGCATATATTACCTACTCCTGTAGCTGCACCTGAACACCCACTCCAGAAGCATTTTAAAAGGAGATGCTTGTAAAATACACAGCCTTTGTTACCCAGTGGGCCCTAGTAGACCTTGATTGTGCTTGTGTGTGCATGCACACTTGTGACTGGGAGAATCCCACTGGACATAGTTAAGTGGGCATCTTGTAGGGGGGCAATTCATCTGTATCGTCTCTGGTTATAAATACCACAGTCACCCTTAGTCTTGGTAATAATTGCTCAGGTGTAGAAGAAAATAATCATGTAGGAACAGGCACTAGAGAGTTCTGGTGCAGAGTTGTGCCATGATCGAGGTTTAGTTTTCCATCTTGGTTTCAAGAGGCAGTAGGTCCAGCTTCCCTCTTGGTCATTCCTTAAACAGAGATGGAGAAAATTATTGAAGGTTTTCCTTTTGGGGCGTGGCAATAAGAAGCATATCTTATCTTCACACCTGGTTCACACCATGCAGGCAGAAGATCAGAAATAAAGATAAAATCTATGTGCGGAGTACCCAGCATGCCTCTCTTCTTGGGCTAGAGAGGAATTAGGGTCCCAACTGTGTAGCAGCCTCTCCCAGATCTCACAACTCCTTCCTTTTACCTGTGATTTTTTATTTATTTATTTATTTATTTATTTATTTATTTATTTATTTATTTTAAAGATTTTATTTATTTATTTGACAGAGAGAGAGTGAGAGAAGGAACACAAGCAGGGGGAGTGGGAAAGGGAGAAGCAGGCTTCCCGCCAAGCAGGGAGCCCGGTGCGGGGCTTGATCCCAGGACCCTGAGATCATGACCTGAGCCGAAGGCAGTTGCTTAACCAACTGAGCCACCCAGGAGCCCCTTACCTGTGATTTTTTAAAAAATATTTATTTATTTGTGAAAGAGAGCATGAGCAGCAAGGAGGGTCAGAGGGAGAGGGAAAAGCAGACTCCCTGCTGAGCAGGGAGCCCAGTGTGGGGCTCCATCCCAGACCCTGGGATCATGACCTGAGCTGAAGGCAGACGCCTAACTGGCTGAACTACCTAGGCGCCTTTACCTATGATCTTAAGAAACTTGCTTTATTAAAAAAGAAAAGGAAAAGAACAAAAGAAAAGAAACATGCTTTATAACCTTAGGCAGATCACTTGACCTCTTTGTGTCTCCTTCAAAACGGAAACAAAGTCCTTAAGGATGTGAGGTTGGTGTTGTGTAGACTAATAAAAATGATTGGAGGGCACTTGGCATATAAAATGTGCGGTGTAATTCCCATATAATGACAACAGAGTTGGTGCATGACCCACTGTTGAGTCATGCTGGGCAGGAATTTTTATGCAGATGACATCTTTGCTGTCTTTAAAAAAACAAAACTAAAGATGCAAAGTCATTTTTTCTGTTGAGGATAAGGAAGTGGGACCAGGTGTCTGACTTGACCAGTTGAGGAAGGATTGGTTACTTCTGCAAACCCCTTTGCTTTCCAGAAAGGTCATGTTTGCATAGTGTGATGGTCTCAACCCGGCCACTTGCTGACTCATGTAAAAAGCTTTTGATGTTCATTCTCTCCCTTTCCTGAGGATATTTACTGAAAAAAAAAAACTCTGTATTTTATTTGTTTCTGATTTTTTTTTAAGATTTTATTTTGAGAGAGAGAGAGAGAGCACACGAGTGAGGGGGAGGAGCAGAGGGAGAGGGAGAAGCACACTTCCCGCTGAGCAAGGAGCCGGATGTGGGGCTTGATCCCAGGATCCTGGGATCATGACCCGAGCCAGAGGCAGACGTTTAATCCACTGAGCCACCTAGGTGCCCCTGTTTCTGATTTTTTTCCCCC